GTTCACATGCGTGTCTACGCATTTTATGTATTAACTGTCTAGTTAATACATAAAATCGCACCACTTTTACGTATCAAAATCAACTTCAAACTATTATTTAAACTATAATACAGGAGCAGCAAACCGCCGCCGGTCAAGTTCCCGCCAAAACTCCAATTGCTGGAGATATGAGTCTAGAAATCATTACCATTTTTGAAAATCTAGGTCAAAAATCAAAGTCAAAGGTTGGCTCGAACACACATAAAAAAAATCAGATTATTTGGCAATATCTGGTCCAAAAAAAATGAATTTACTTAAAAATGATTGTTTTGTTTTAGATCATCAAATAAAAACCTAGATACATCAAAAGCAAAAGTTCTCTAAGAACTGTTTTGACATAATTCTAGTTGAAATAAATATACATTAATGTAAATTCAACCTGCATTGCCTAAAGTTGTATTCACAAAGCTACGTACAAATTAAAAGCGCACCCAAATGTTCGAGTAGGCACTCATTCGGTAAGGACATTTTTTGTCACTAATCATGTGGAGACACCAGAGGCAAGTGTGACCATAAATTAATTAAAACTAAAATGAACATTTAAATACTTCTACTCTGTAAGGATTTAACATAGATAATTCCGTTTCAAAATATCAATTATTAAGTTTTTTTTTTTTTACGTATAAATATTACTGTTTATTTTGTTTATTAAATTTATTAAACAGTGATCGGGAAAAACACGAAGATGTGTGGTTAAATAAAAGATAAAAATTAAAATAATACATTCAGGTTTTTGTACATAAAAAAATTAAAGCAAAATGTATTCCAAGTGGTTGTTTGTTTGATCAAACATTTTAGTATCTTTAAGTAGCATATTGTAATGTGAGGTAATTAAAACTTATTAAGGTGGAAGACTGACACACTTATCCATCAATGAGGCTTTTTTTGAATTAGAATTATTATCTGTAGTTTTTAATGTCAATATATTTTACGATCTGTTAGAACGATTTGGAAGTCTATTTTTGCGTAATAATGGATTTTTCCACGCATGAGGTAAATGTGACAGTTTTTAGTCGATATAATGATGTACCTTTAAATGGATTTATGTCACGCTTACCCTGGATGTTTTGAAAATGTAATAAAAATAATGCTAAGTGAAAAATAACTTTAAATCCGCTGGGCTGCAAAATATGGGAAGAAGAAAGTTTTCGTTAGCCTTTAGAATATTATATAAGTCAAGGTGTGTTGAATAACCGTCATATATCACAAGTTGTGATTTGCCTGATTTGCACATATTTCCGGAAACAGTACATTTGAAAAGTAACTTTCGAAGACTGAAGCTTTCATCCAACCCTTCAGCGTAGCGGCAAATGCCGAATTAATTGAATTATCATCAGGTAACCGTGTATTCCAAAGATACGTTCCTTTAAAAATTAGTAATGGACGAACTTTCTGGCCCCAGGTAATGCATGCGAACAATACAGTTGTACTGTCGCGGCCTGGTGAGCTAGTGGTTCTTGTGATTTGAAAACCTTTTAAGGCCGATTATTTTCAAGTTACCTGGGTCTTGACAGAAACTTGTTTCATCAAGATTCCATATTTGGTCGCCTTCTAATTGTTGCTTTTGTACGACTGTCTCAAGTAAATCGTAGAACTCGTTGGTACTAAACGGGTCGGCAGCCTTTCTTCTTGCGATTTCGACGGCTTGAGGTTTTTTTAATTGATAGTTTGTTATTTTTTTTGAAACCTCTTATCCACTCGTCTCCCGGAATCCCATCTTTGAAGGGAGTATCGATTTCATTGCGACGAACATATTGGCCAACTAAAGCTCTGACTTCTAGCTGAGTTAAACCACAACCATAAAAAATATGGCTGCAATGTTTCACACCATGGAACGCCATGGTGTGAAACATTGCAGCCATATTTTTTCCAAGCCTGAGTTTAATGCTGTTGGCCTACCATGAGTGTTTGATTTCACATCTCGATCACCACTTACATGTGCGGTTATGGTTGTTCTAGGGACACCGTAAACCTTGGTTGCCTTAAACGGTGTCATATGTTGCTCCCGTACAGCTTTGATAGCCTCCAGCAGAGTTTCTCGAGAGTATTTATGAGATGTTTTTCTTATATAGTTTAGATAACCGGATATTGTTTAGTTTAGATAACCAGACAGATATCAGGTCTCCGTCGACGCCCTTCTTGGCTCCTCAGACCATTGTCTTGTCCGCAGTGTGGTGCCACTCACGCTAATATCGTGGTTGCGTTCTGCAGGCTGCCGCTGTGTTTGGCACTATAGGTCGGCCGATTGAGATAGGATGTATCTTTGCATTCTACCCTTGGGTTTGCTTCTCGTTGGACGATCCCAATGTTGTTGCTGATTCTGTCGCTGATATGGTACATCAGGGTATGAAACTTTTATTCCTTCTTCTGTGGTGCCCATCGGAGGCGCAGATCCCAGCTATGGTTTGGTCGCTTCTGTAAAATAGCATCATGCTATAAGCAGAAGTGCTACCGGGCCAGGGCTGACGCATCAACGTACCGAAATTTAAACACCAGCGCCCTTAAAAAGAAGTATAATTCCGTCTCTAGGTCTTTCAAGAGTCATTGCCAAGTTCACCAAGCTTTCTCCTTGCTGTATATGGAGCTCCAAAAAAAATTGATTGTATTGACAAGACAAGTATAGATATTTAACTTTTGTAAAAAAAAACACGGATCAAGAAACAAGTACAACTACCTTGTCTTCCTCCAACATCAGCCTCTGTTCATCAACACCTGTGTCGAGTATCAAGTATATAGTATCAAGTTCAGACATGGCTAGGCAATCAACTGAACCCTGAAAACTTGGGTTGGAAATTATAATTCTTTGGAACTGAGTCAAACTATACTCCCACCTGCTCTGGAAAAACTCCCAAACACTATTTCTTTCAATTACAAAAAATTAATAGAATCAGGCGTTACTTTGCGGAAATCCATTATATTACAATTGGTAAAAATTACCTTGCGTAAATCCGCTCTATAAAATAGAATGATGTGTTTTACCTAGTTTGAAGAGCACCTCCCGCCCTCCTTCAATTGAGTGCACTATCCCCGTCACCACTAATTCCAGCACCGCTACTCCCAACAGCACTAAACTAGGAAAGACACACCACTGACGGCAATACGACACGTGTTTCGCCTCTAGACGAGGCATTTTCAGGTAATGTAGCCTGCGGTGGCTGACCGCTAAGTTAGCGGCGAGCCAAAACTGTCAGAGTTCTAGTACGCCTTCTTTCCGGAACCCGTGCAATCTGGTCTCTCGTCAAGGCTGTCCAAGGGAACTTCTCTCAGTCATCTTTTCCATCTCTGCACAATGAGGACGACTCACTGGCCCATGCCGCAAAGGAGAAAGCCGATCTGCTAGGTTCTTTCTTTGCGTTCAACTCGACTCTGCACTCTCTGACTCAGCACTCGGTTCGCAAAGCACTCCTCTCCCTGGACATCCACAAGTAGAGTGGACCTTACGTAATCCCCCGATTGTGCTGAGGACGTGTGACGGCATCGCTTCTAACGCGTTTTTTCCGCTACTCCTACACCCTAGGCGTAGTCCCAAATTCATGGAAGACGGCTTTGTTGCATCAGATCCCTAAAAAAGGCAACCGCTCAGACCCGTCTAACTACAGGCCCATCGCCACACCTCCTTGTTCTTCAAAATAATGGAATACATTATAAACTGTCAGCTCATGCGCTACCTTGAGGATCACCAGCTGATTAGTGACAGCCAGTACGGTTTCCGTCGGGGTCGCTCGGCTGATGATCTTCTGGGTTACCTAACTCATAGATGGGCGGAGGCAATAGAGTCCAAGGGAGAGGCGCTGTTCGTTAATTTGGACATAACGAAGGCCTTCCATCGGGTTTGGCACAAAGCGCTTCTTTCGAAGCTCCGTTCCTATGTGCTTCCCGAGAAATTGTGCAATGGGATCACCAGATTTTTTGCAGATCGGAGCATCAATGTCGTCATAGATGGTGCATGCTCCGATTACAAGCCCATTAACGCTGGTGTTACACAAGGCTGCGTGCTATCACCAACGCTGTTTCTTCTACATATGAATGATATGTTGCAAACTTTCATTGCTATGTGGAAGACAACACTGGTGATGCTTTATACACTGGCCGTGCCAATATTTCTCGGGAAAACGTCGCCGAGTACCGGAACAAACTTGTGTCTAAAAGTCTCGCCCCAGTCCGAGACATAAAAATTATGTTTATTGACAAATCCACTGAGGTCAAAACGGGCTGCATCACTCTATCTGGGTTACTTTTTAATTTGGTTAGCATAAAACTAGTGAAGTTACAACGGTGTTCATGGTCTGAAGCTTATATGGGAACAGACTTAGGTCTTCTTTCAGAATAGTCTGTGAAAGGTCCTCTTAATTTCCACTTGTTGAGAACGTCGCCTGGCAGACAATGTCGGATCTTCGGCTACACTTTCACGAACACTCAATATTCTGCTCCATACTAACTCTTCTGGTACGATGAGGAACTGGTTTATGGTTTATGGAACATGGCATTAATTAAAATGTCATGCTGCTCAAATTATTCCACCAAATTATTGTTAGCCGTGAAGGTGATTTCTACCGAAAATTGGTCACAATTGTCTCAGCGTTTTCGTAATACAATATTGTTTTGAGTAAAATGTTTTGATAGTTAAAACACGTTTCGCGAAGAGAAAAAGTGTACAGAATAATTGTTACCGAACAGCTGTCAAATTTGCCGCTAAAACAAAATGGCGGCGAAAGAGTTATATACCTCTACGTAGGCCATCTTGTACTTTAAAAATAAAAATAAAAACTTAGAAAGATTCCGTCAATTAAGTACATGGTCGAACCGGATCGTTCATGATTGAAATACGATTACTTTAGGGTTATGCTTAATTTCTATCTGATAAAAGTAGACGGCATAAAAAATCATATACGAATCAGAAATCATGAATAAAACTACATTAGAAATAAGTATGTATTTAAAATATTTATTAGATAACTTACCGCAGAAGAAAACTTTGTAGCAACAATCCCTGGCGCCACACAGTTAACTCGTATATTGTCCCGAACGACTTCATAAGCAATTGCTTTTGTTAGGCCCAGCAATGTGGTTTTGCTAATGCTATAGGGGCCTAAAGGCTGTAAATCATCATTAGAATGTTCTATAAAACATGACAATAAATGTGACATATTATGTGAATATTATTTTAAAATATTCAATCACAAATACAACAGAGCTATGTACGTTATACTCGTATAATCAACAAAAGTAATATAACTTGGCAGTCTAGTAACGGCGTAAGAGAATGCCTGATGGTAAGTGGTGATGTTGTTCTAGAAAGTATAGCAGAGTGCATTGGCTTAACCTATTAACTTGTTCTTTAAACGACGTGATCGAATTAAAAGATATGACTCTGGAAAATTATTTGCTGTATGTATTAATAAAAATGAAGCATACAATTTTGGAGGCAGGTAAAGACGGAATTCATTGAATGTGTACAATTCCTGTACACATTCTTCAAATAATATGCTGTAGAATACAGAAAGGCCAGCTAATTTACGCCTTTTATCTGTTTCTACCAAATCAAGATCACCAATTAGCTTTTAGCATAACTCTCCACTTAGTCTAAAGCTGCTAGATACTATTTTGCAGCAATACCACATATGAATTTGTTAAGTACTGCTGCCCAGTACTTTATCCAAAACTGAATTTGCGCTTTTTATCAGATTAAAAAGTGTTGTTGAATATATAGTGGCAACTAAAGAGAATCCGCTACCGCATATGATCCCGTAGCTATCCTAAGAAGCGGCAAACTGAAATAGGAGATAGGCAGAATCTTTCTAATAACAACTCAACAAATAAAAAACTGCGTTTTTAACCCTCCTGTGAACCGTGCAACTATGGCAAATATCCCTTCTATTAATGTGAACTATGGGAAAGCATATGATTTGCAGAGGACTTTTGACAGGCTGTAATGAATGAAAGAATAAAAAAGATGTTCAGGCATTAAGTATATATATGTAAACAAATATTTTTACAGGTTTATATTGCTATGGACCAATGTACTTAATTTTTAAGTCCTTGATACCTGAAATAAAAATATTGTATTCAATTGTAAGGATACCTGACTTTTGCAATGATAAAACATGCTTGTGTTTATACGTAAAAAATATAATATCTAAAGATATGATCATCAAATATGTTATCTTTATTACAAAATCCTACAATATCGGAAATATGAGGAGAATCTCACAAACATGTGAAGGTTACCACGATTTTCAATTTAAATTTCCTTACATAAAGTAAAATTCTATTCTACATTAATTAACGCTGATCAAAGATTATTATTTAATGGAATAAAAACTCACTTCCATAGGTTGATAAGCAGCTATCGATGATACGAAAACAATACTTCCACCTCCTCTTTTTATGAGCTCTGGATAAGCTTCTTTAGCCAGGAGCCATGCACTTTTTACGTTAACATCAAATATTTTATCCCATACTGCTTCATCAGTCTGAAAGCAAACAAAACCGTGTCACATGAGCAATAACTAGAAAAATGCTATAAAAATACGTGCTACAGTGAACGTAGAAATTTTCAATATATAAGTGGAATTTACATGCAAAAAATAAATAGAATAAAAGACAAAATTTCAAAAACTTAATTATGATCCACTATTACATTTTGTCAAATATGAGAAAACCCAGAAAAAAATGCCTTTACAAGTATGCCACTTATGACACGAAAATTTCAAGACCGGCTATGGGGAGCAGCATCAAAGGTGTGAGGGTGTCTAGAATTTGGATTGCCAATTCACCTGCCAAACGTGGTGATTTAGGCAAATATTTCCTTCAGCGGAAGAGGAGCAGGGTTGATGAAGAAGAACAATGATCATTACTTAACTGTATTCTGAATTCCGTATGTGTGTGGCCAACTATTCGTAATTTCGAAACGGAATCCCGAAACGGAATTCCGTATGTATGTGGCGGGCCTTAAGCAAAGATTTGGCCTAGTTTGAGTTTAATTTCAGTTTGCAGTGCACCTTAACATATTTATAAGGATGTAGTTTGTTCCTTTTCAGCACTCGGTGTATTGTTTTATGCCTCACTCTAAACACACGCCCAGCTTGTCTAAGGCTGCAGGTTGTATTCCGATCGAAATGGTCTAAGACTCATTGTTCGAACGAGGGTGGAAAGTGACGTGGAGCAACTCCTTCATGAGTGTTGGGCACTATGCGCTGATTTTCCCTGATTCTTTGGACAGCACTTAGGATTGTTCGGACGCTAGTAGGGCAGACGCGAGTTGCGCCGTATCTCTCACAATATGTACGCAGAGTTAACGCTGAATTTTGGCGGCATTCGCCATACAATAAAACCATGTCTGTATACTCTGCCGCACTGTAAATCTTGGCATTTTCCGCCGCCAAAACGTATACACAAAAGTCAAGCAGTGTCAATATCACAGTGAAAAAATAATAAAAATAAACGTACTTAAAACACTATTTACACACACAAAGTCAATTAACTAATAAGTATCTATTTCACCGTAAAATAATTGTTTGACTAATTGTATTTATGTTACGATAATTATCTTACGATAAATAATTACGATGCGCGTAAGCAGCGAAACGCACCTGTATTCTGGAAGAATTGCGCTTGAACTGGAAGCTGGAAGCCAAACTTCCAAATTCCAAAATGGCGAAAATAATAAAAGTAATAAATAGGGCGGCCACAAGGTGTAATTATCGTTTATCGATACTTTTCTTTTTACACTTACTTACCTACTACATTTGAATACAAGTAATTTTGATTTTTGATTTGATAACAATCGACAAGTTATTAATTGTTAAAAAAAAGTTTATTTTTGTACAATTGAACTTACGAAACTACCAATTCGTGACTTCCTGGGAAACGGGTAAGTATGTATGACTTTTTTAATTGGTTGTTTTTATGGGTTTTTTATCATGTTAAAATAATTTATTATCTCTAAATCTACAAGAACACACTTAAACAAAAAAAGCTTTAAAGTTTAGCTTTAAATACTTAGGTCCTAGTGTTTTTAGAACTATCATAACAACACGATAATTCTAAAAAAAAACTATACTCTAAGTGTTTAAAGCTAAACATTTTTTTTTGTTTATCGATTATTACTCCCTTTGAAAGAAGCTAATCGTCGATAACAGGTGTCCTACTCTACGACAAAGGCGCGCGCGCACTTGTGCCGTCTTTGAAGAACGCCGCGTGCCTCGTGCCGCTTGTTTATGGACGCCGCCAAAAGACACGGCGGTCGATACGTCGCAATAGTTTGCACTGCGTGACATCGTCGTTTTTTAATGTTCAAGGATTCAAGTTCATTGAATCACTGACTTAGTGACCCAATTCTATAGAGTTCAAATTTGCTTAAAATTAAAACTACTTTTTGACCTAATTACTGGACCGATTACGTTCATTTTTTGTATATCGTCAGCAAAGGCGATAACAAGTATGTGGTTTCATTTATTGCACATATGTGGGACCCCATTCTTTATATTAGACTGGTGTGAATTCACGAGCCGACGGAGAAATCGTGATGGCGTCATGTGAGCAGTAAATAAAATTTATAAACATAATTTTTGCCGTTTTATAATTAAATCCGTCCCTTGTAACTGTAGGATTTATCTGCAACGACGACTCATGAGATACAATTTAGTTGTGACCACGACTCGAGACATTTTTGGGATCTGTGTACTTTGTAAGCTTTTCTGATATTGTTAACTGCAGGCTGTAGGTATTAAGTATTTGCAGTCATATCTATTAAAGTTGCTGTTTCTTCAGTTTAGTTTATTATGGTTATATTAAGTTTGATAAAGTGGGCTGTTTTGTCTGTCAGTGTGGCCCTATCAAAATTTAATTTATACGTTTTATTTCCTAAATTAGTTTGAGGAATATATTTATAGTAAGGTGTGCAATAGGTTGGGATGAGATTTTATTTTAGTTATACTTATTACTTTACACTAATCATATTGCAGATATATGCTATTTTTACCATACCTCTAAAACTGGTGACACGGCGGGATTGACAGCAGCATTTGAAACAAGAATATCAAATCCACCAAATTTGGATTTAGCCTGAAAAATACAAGGATCGAAGTTAACCTTTTGCACTATCAGTGTTATAAATAATATCTTCCAGATCAAAATTCGGTCACGACGGTCAGTTTCAACTGAGAATAGCCGACGAAACAGGATTAGGCACAGGACAGGCTTGCGCACACACTCGGGCACTATAATGCCCGAGTGTGTGCGCAAGCACAAGTGTACCCTCTATACCCTCACACACATAGTCCGATGGGTCGGCAAACTGACACGACCGGAGAGATCAGGCGCTAGACCAACGGCTCTACATACTTTCCGAGGCACGGGAGTAAAACACCAACAACTTCCTGACTCCTGCTACTAAGAACTTGTTGACAGAAAGACTCGGGACACCTCATGATCAGCAGCCGCGTTGCGACCTCTAGACCAATGAGGCTTTTATAAAACTGAAGTGACATACGAACTAACATTTCACCTGATAGTAAGTGGCTACTGCAGCCCATGGACGCCTGCAACCAACTTCAAACAAAGATGATGATCAGATGCGTTACACCTCTAAAAACTAAGATGGTGTGCCTTACAGTTTAAGGCATGTTAACAATTATTTATTTAAAAAAAATAATGTATAAAATAATAAGTCATAATCAAATGATCATTAACCCTTAATTACTCGCGTCCATATAGTTACACTTACGCTCGCGTGGGGAATATATAACCCCAATTGTAAAGGTACAATAAAACATATTTTTAATGACATATTTTTAATGACATACTTTTTTTTTATTATAAAAATTTGAAAGAGGCAACATTGTTCTAAATTGTAATAGTATCCTTAAAAACTTTTAAAGATATGAAACTTTAAATTTAGGAACTTTTTAATCAATACATTTATCACATATCATAGTGGAATGGTCGTGACAAACTTGCTGGTGGCATTTGGCACACATAAATCTTATTTTTTTATCCTTCGACCTTGGACAGATATGGCACCTTTTATAAGTTGTCGATGGACCACCTCTGGAAGTGGGGCTAGGATCCTGAACTTGAGCATTTCTTTTTAGCCGTTTTTGTACGGCCCTAGGCAGTTGTGGTATAGTTGCTCGAGTTTGTTGGCGAGCCTTTACCAAATCAACTGCAAGATGCTTCAAAAACTCCCTTCTTGATATTCCGTGGTCAATTTTATTTTTATAAATGACATATGCATTGATACCAGCAACGTTGAGAAGGTGATAAAATATAACCATAGGCCATCTCTTTGTACGTCTGCCGACGTTATAGTTAGCACACATTTGGTCGTTGGTATCTACGCCACCTTTCGTGCGATTGTAGTACAAAATAATTTCCGGTTTCTTCTTTTCACTTTCAACTATTTTATTGTCATGATGCATTGACGAAATCAGCAGTACAGCTTTAGATTTTTTTGGAACGTAAGAGCAAAGTGTTACGTCTTCTTGGAAACCAAACAGACTGGAATGCTCAGCTCGTGTTCGTTTGGGCTGGAAGCAAGTTGGAATTTCCGGCTTATTCTTGCGAATAGTTCCAACCATAGTAAGCTGGTGATCTTTTAGAAGCGTATTTGTAAGAGGGACGCTAGTGAACCAGTTGTCCATCGTAACGTTTCGACCAGTACCCCAGATGGGTTCTGTCATGCGCTTTACCAAACTTACTGTATCATTAGGCATTCGATATGGACCCTCAGGTTGTACTCCAGCATAAATTTCAAATTTCAGTAAATAAAATGTTGCCGAGTCTACGAGTGCATAATGCTTTATGCCGTACTTCGTGGGTTTGTTGGGCATATAAACAACACCAGAAAATCTTCCTCGAAAGGCAGGTAATTGTTCATCTAGGGTGACATTTTCAGATGCAGAGTAATTATTGATGAAATTATTATTCATCAAATCAGTGAACTCTCTGACTGCTGCTAGTTTGTCTGTCTTTTGCCTTTCAGATCTAGTATTTTTGTCATCAAAACGAACACATCTTGATATAAAAAGAAATCTGTTGAATGACATTGTGTTTTGAAAAAACTCGATGCCTGTTCCATCGGTAGCCCACAGATCTTTGAAGTTCAAGTGAGATGAACGCAGCACACCAGACATGTAAAGCAAACCTAGGTAAGCCAAAAGTTCTTCGTATTCTAGGAATTTGCAATCACGTTCGCGTTGAAATTTTCCTTGTATCGATTTTATGTAATCGTTGGTCTGTTGCAGTACTAAATTGACAGTATCCATTGAAAACATACAAAAGAATGCTTCTGACATTGTATGTATCTCCTTGGCTGCTCCCTTAGGTCCTGGTGTTTCCCTCATAATATTGTGTCTACGAACTCGAACGCTAGTACGCGGCGGCTCTTTTGCCCACTTTGTGCATTTCTTTTTTGATAAATAAAAGCTATCAGAATCTTTACTTGCGTGTCTACTCAGCGGTTCATTATCGTCATCACTCCATTCTAACTCGGTTTCATTGGCACTTTCTTCAGATTCTGAGTTGTGGTCACTCTGGATCACTTCATCGTCTCCCTCATCTTCATCGGGACTATCTATGATGCTTTCTTCGTCGTCTTCTAATATACACTCAAGAATCTGGTAGTTAGAAAGACGCTTACTTGCCATTTTAGGTGTTATAACCTAAAAAAGAACAGAAAACAAAGATAAGTAAAAAAACCTAACCATTTAGTATCTGTACTGCACATTAAAAAATAAAAATAAAAATACTCACTTGTCCAAAAAAAGTTGCACGAATACTCGCGTGGGGCAATATATACCCCAGACACGATCTCCTGACACAACCACACGACACGGAGCGGCGCTCGTGACTGATTCGCGGCGGGGGGAGGTATTTAGGCAGCTACTAAGAACGGCATGGAGGTAACTTTAAAAATGGCGGAGATACGACGCTTCAAATACGCCGTGGGGTTAAATATACCCCACGCGAGTAATTAAGGGTTAAGCTGAAGTGGCAATGGGCCGACAATAAAGGTCGAAGAACTGACAACAGTTGGGGAAGAAAGGTTCTCGATTCTTGAGTGACAGTCTCACAGAGTGACAGCGGCAAGCAAAGTGTGGAATTCAGTCAGACCTTTTCTTTTATATTCTACTAAGCCAGCGCTTATCTACGATCTCACCTGATGGTAAGTGGTGATGTAGCCTAAGATGTTGTAGCGCACTGACTTAACAAAAGCCTATTCGCTCTTGCCTTGAAGACACCCACACTGTAATCGGATGGAAAAACTTTGTTCAGCAGTGCACTTGTGATGGGCGCTAATGATGATGATTATTATGAACTCTTCTAATCGTAGTAGCTCTTGAGCTTGAGCCAGCAACGAGCTGACACCAAAAGATGATTGATTGCAATTATAAGTACTGTGAATAATCTTGCATGTCTAAAGAGTAAGTCTAAAGTTTCGAAAACATGTAAATTCACGAACACGATTGTAGCAGCGAGACGGACTAATTACATAACACTGTTAGAAATAAGAGAAGGCTTGTTTGTTTGTTCCCAGTTTGTTCCAGGTACAGTAATTTAGTTTTTAGAATATAATTCCTGCCTCCCAGTCGTAGGGAGGATGTGCTTTAATTTTCACGCTTGGCAAACGGATTGACTATCGCAGTACCAAACTTCACGCACACGCACGCACGCACACACGCACGCACACACGCACGCACGCACGCACGCACGCACGCACGTACGCAAATAATTTTTATATATCAAAAGAATATTTTCAATAATATATAAAAAACTGCGGTTGCCAATCCGCTCGCCAAGCATATTAACCAGTGACAAACACCCTTCCATGTGCAACGACACAAAGAAATTTCCCAAGTGCCTGTCGACCCCGCTATTCCTGGCTACGGTGGCGACCATGGTAACAGCAGGCCATGGGATGCTAAAAATCTCCGGTGGAAGTTCGGTTGCTATCTTAGACGACTCAACGAGGCAACATTTAATGCAAGCACTGAGGGTTGACGGGAATCACACATCCTCATACATTTCCTAAACCTCCTCACCACATCCCGATGAGGAGGTGGAGGAAATGTATGAGGATATCTCTAAAACCCCTTGTGCTCTAATCAAAAGCCCCGTAAACTGCAGCTCGAATTACAAAATAGTTTTCATTGCTTAGAAGATTGTAATATAGTGGATGATATAAATGAAAGCTCGTGCCGTTGGAGCTAAGTTCTGCAATAACTTTCGCAGACATACCTAAAAACTCTCCGATCACACTCGTAATCTCATGGCTGTTAAGACAGGATATGAAGCTGCAGTCTTTGACAGATATAACAGCAAACAGGTATCTAAACAGACAGATCTCTATAACCAGCTTCATTTTCAGGACTCCTATCCCTATTTTGTTATAAATTAGCATAATTTTTAACTCCTTTCTTAGTTACTTTTCTTTTTTCTTACTACATAACTATGTTACTATGCTATGTTCAATAAATTATCATACGAAACTTTTGTGTCATTCATGCACCTAACTCGGCTTGAAAACAATAGATGAAAAAAAAATCTACTTGCAGTATCAAATAATTTTTTTCGTTGATCTGCATCGCTGACATGACACACAATGCCTTCTACATTTATACCTTCACCACGTAAGCTTTCAGTTGCTTTTTTCACATTTGCCTCCTTTCTACTGCTAATTATAATGGAAGCTCCTTCATCTCCCAATCGTTTCGCGATGGCTAATCCAATACTGGAAAAAAAGACATATTAAGCTTTTAAATCTTGTCACATACGAATACGACACTAACGTGATTCTTGTAAGTTTTCAAAATTGAATATTTTATTTATTAAATACTTTCTACAAGTTCAACTTACTCTTTTAATACTTATAAATAAAATAGTTTTAGTTTGGACTCTTTGGTGGTTCGCCGTGTACTTGCGGGGTAAGAGAATTCACTACCCCATATTATCGCTTGGGTTTCGTAAGAGGCAACAGCGGTAAATCAAACAGATTGGCAGCAGCATCTTCCTGATGAGAACTCAAGAAACAATAAAATAATAAAAATCTACCCTTTGGAGGTGGCTTATGTTTGGCAGTAGATTTTAATAGGCTGTTATGATAATGCTCAGACTATATTCAAATTCAAATTTCTTTATTTGCCATAAATAGGGTAAGTGATAGGTTTTTACAATAAAAATAAGTTGCTTAAAGACCTATTTAGCCATGAGATATGGCATGCAAACTTTTTTTAAATTACCAAATAATATAGGTGGTAGTAGATTCTAAAATGTCAATTTATTAAATGTAAGTTATATATTGAATAAAACTACTTTTACGGATTTTATCGCGTTTAATAAACTTATTTCTCTTATTTTTATTAATTCCCGACGTTTCGACGACGTTATATAATTCAAAATGTCATAATTAAAATTTAAATACATTCAATCATTAATTAAAGGTCAGATAAAATAGTGATACGCAGTGATACACAGCAATTACGTCCATCATATGTCAACATGCATATTATTATAATTTTGAAATTCCTTAACACTATAATAACATTTTTTTATTAGCCATTCACGTAGTTTAGTTTAGTTTATCTGCCGACTTCCAAAAAGGAGCCGGTACTCAATTCGACTGTATGTTTTTTTTTTTCGTTTTTTTTTATGTGTGTTACCTCAGAACTTTTTTCTGGGTGAACCGATTTCGATGATTCTTTTTTTATTTGAAAGCTGGTACTTCTCGTGTGGTCCCATATGAATTTGATCAAGGTCAGACCAATAGTTTTTAAGTTATTCTTAAATAACTTATATTGAAGTCGGCTGTACAAAATTTTTAATTTTAAATTATTTTAGTTTACGACGGGCTGTTTTCCGCAACTCCACGTCTATGCGCGTATTTGCGTATGGGCAGGAGTAATTTTTTTTTCTCTTTATTTGGGATAACAAACAATCGTACAATATAATCACATTATTAAACACAATACTATATTTAAGCTTAATAATCATACAATCAACACCGTTATTCACATATTACTATTGGGTCAGTGTACTAAACAATTAAAATTAAATTTTTAATGTTTTATTAAAACTACCCGTTCACTAGTAGATACAGAGAAAAACAAACTGATATATATATATATATGAATGTACATGCGCACGCATATAAACATACATAGTTAATACATAAATGTAAATAATTAAATTAAACATAAATAAACAATTACATCAAATTGCATCTGATACAGATAGAAACTCATACACAGCTTTTTTAAATTTGGAAGAAGTTAATCCAAAAATATCTATTTCATTAAATTTCTTGTTGTATTGTTCCATTATACGATTTAAAGGTGCACGCGCACCGGCATTTGTTTTACTTGGTTTAGGAAAGAAAATTTGATGTGATTGAAGCTCACGTATACGCTTCGAGCGACTGGGTATACGAATGTATATTTGATTGGTGAGTTCATTACAGTCAAATTTGTTATGACAGATATTGTAAAGCAATGTTTGATCCAAGAGTATTCTTCTTGATTCTAAAGAAAGAATACTGAATTTTCTTAATAAAAGTTCATAACATTCATTAGAATTACTTTTAAAGCATTTGAACATTGTAGATTTTAAGAACTTTCGTTGAACACGCTCCAACTGTAAACTATACTTATTATACATTGGACTCCATATAACTGATGCATATTCGACCTGAGATCTTATTAGAGTTTTATATAAAGTTAAAAATGTGGTGGGATGTTGGAAGGAAGAACATGTCCGCATCACAAAACCATAAAGCTGAAAGGCTTTATTGGTTATGTGCGTTACGTGTTCATCAAAGTGTAGTTTAGAGTCTAAGTACAAACCTAGATCCCTAATTAAAGATACCGATTCCAACGAAGTACAGTTTAGTTTATAAGTATATTTAATAATGTAAATTTTTTTTGTGAACGTGATATGTTTGCTTTTTAATGTGCTTAAGTGAAGTTTATTTTTTTCACAGTAGTTTGCCAAGCGATTTAAGTCTTGTTGTATTTTGTCACAGTCTTCGATAGTATTGACACTGCGATAAATTTTAAGGTCATCTGCGTAAAGGAGAAATTTCGTAAAACGGAAACAATCACCGATATCGTTCACAAATAAAATAAAAAGCAAAGGCCCAAGAATAGATCCTTGCGGTACGCCTGAGCTGACATTTATAATATTAGATGAGAAACCATTAATAATAACCCGTTGAGATCTGTTTAAAACGTATGATGAAAACCATCTTAACAAGTTTCCTCGTATTCCATTGAACGCCAATTTCTTTAAAAGTATGTTGTGATCAACCTTGTCAAAAGCCTTAGCGTAATCAGTGTAAATTGCTTCTACTTGCAAACGGTTATCCATGCAGTGAAAAAGATAATTTGTGTAGAGAACAAGGTTAGTTGTTGTTGACCGATGTTTTACAAATCCATGTAGTACAGGTATAATTATGTTATGTAATGTAGGATAAATTTGCTTATGTATTAGCTTCTCAAGAACCTTTGATATAGTTGATAACAAAGATATGGGGCGGTAGTTAGAAACGTCGTTTTTGCACCCACTCTTGTAGACTGGTGTTACATTGGCGTTCTTCCATATCTGGGGCATAGCCCCTTCACTAATACATTGGTTAAAGATAAGACACAAGGGAATACTAATAGCTGCAGCAGTGTGTTTGAGGAAAAATGGTGGAAGGCCGTCAGGTCCAGGTCCTTTGTTAATATCGAGTAACATGAGCTCTTTGACTAAACTATCCTCAGAAAAGGAGATATTTGAAATAATCTCAGAATTGGGATTAGTAGGCTGATTACTAAAATTCTCCTGCTGTAACTGCTGTCTATTTTCATATACTGAGCTGAAAAATTCAGAAAATAATTCACATATACCCTCAGGGTTATCCGATTTTTTATGTTTAGAAATCATAACGTTAGGAATTCCATTTTTACCTCTGCGATTGTTAACATAGGACCATTTGATGTCCTTTTGAATTCCCTCTTCGATGGAATTAATGTAAGTATTGAAGCAATCAGCACACAGTGTCTTAAATCTGTGTCGAAGTAATGAAAACTGGGAATAATCCGCTTTATTATTATATTTTTTCCATCGTATCCAATATTTTTCTTTATCTTTAAAAATATGGATTAGGGGTCGAGAAAACCAAACTGGAAAGTTACTGCTTTTTGACGAACGAAGCGGTACATGCATTCTTATAATTTCATAAATTTTTTTATAAAATATATTAACTGAAATTTCAGCAGTTAGCCCTTTTAAAAGAGAGTACCAGTTGATGTCAGAGATAGATTTACAAATGGTGGAATAGTTTGCTTCTAAATATTTGAACCTCGGAGTAGTCGAGTGAGTCATAGATTTATATGTGTGGCCTAGAGATATAACCGTATAAAATGCTGGATGTAGACGATCCAATGGCAGTAGCGGATTTGGAGGCAGCTCACAAACACAATTATCCTCGTTACATAAAAACAAGTCTAAAATACGGCCCAAAGGGTTTCTTATGGTGTTTAACTGTTTCAAGTTTAATGATGATATAAAGTTAAGCAGTGATTTGTCATTGTTGGTAAGTTGGGGGTAAGAAGATGTGGATGCTATATTTAATGCCGTTTGATCACTGCCCAGCCATTGTAGATTGGGAAGATTGAAATCACCAACTACGTAAACGTGCTGGTAGTTAATCTCCATAATTTTGTTACATAAGGATGTTAAAAAAATTTCATAAATTAATCCGTTCATATTAGGCGGAATGTAAATACCGCAAATAATAGTAGTATCACCCCTTTGACTATTAAGACTGAGAAATACATAATCAATACAAGGTGAAATAGGATAGTCATGTGGACCTATTAGTTCGTACCGAGCAATGGGCAACCCTCGACGCACCGCAATTAAAACTCCACCGCCGTCCCGTTTACCTGTCAAGACTCGGTCCCGGTCGCAGCGATGTACTACATACCTATCATCTATAAATTCGCTGTCTAGAATAATCGGAAGCAACCACGTTTCACTTATTATAATAAAATCGTAACTGTCTGATAATATATTTGTATACAGAGTGTTTAGTTTGGTTCTTAAGCCCCTACAGTTTTGGTAATATATTGTAAAACGATCAGTCATCATCTTTGTTAATTTTTAATACATGAACATTACCTAAACCTATTAACAAGATAAAGAAATAAAAGTAAAAAAGTAGAAAAATTACAAGTATCATTAAAGTAACAGATATACTGGGACTAATGTATTCTATTCTTTTCCAATTTAACATGATAAAATATAGCTGATTATGTATAATGATTATTAATATATAAAAATTTGCCCAGTTATTTCTAATCAAAGTGCTATGCAAATACATTACTTGTAATTTAACAGTTATGTTGTTTACGCAGTGAAATTCTATTTCATAACTTTGTGTTTCATATGTTATGTTAATCCCAGTAAAAGAAGTATTCAGAATAAATAAGCGAGAATAATAAATACTGCTTAATAATATTAAAATATGTTCGACAAATAAAAATAATAAATTAATAACGCTTGGTGGGTATGTTAAACAGTGTGACTTGCAAGTAAACTTCATACGCTTTACAATGTTCATATTATAATTATTAGTATTAATTTGACAACGAAGTATTTTTAAAGTAGAATATTGTTTGTAAAATATCGTAAATAAATCCTTTGAGTAGCAAACAAAATGCCGGTAAATAAAAAATAATTCAATATACACGG